CCGACCATTGTCTGAGCTGATTCCCCTGAAACGTGCGTACATTTGTAATTTCCGGCCATTGAACAACGCTCTGGACCGTACTTTTTCAATTTTAACTATAAAGAACAATTTATTGGAAGCAGCACTTTTCCCGTTGCGTCGTACAGCAATAAAGTAATGACTGAAGGGCCAAAAACTTATCACGAATAAATTCCTTGTCATGATGATGCACGAATACTTAAAACATACCTACTAAGGTTTTAAAACGTGAGCTAGTGCCTAAGACTAGCTGTAAAAAAAAAACAGCGGCACCCTTTGATGCATGTTTTCTGCACATGTTCTAAACATTTCCGATAAAAGTGCCCAAGGTCAGGTCCCCGGGTCATGTCGACTGTCGAGTGACCCAGCCCCGGAAAAAAGTTTCTTTTCGTCACAGCTACACCGACACAGTGATTGTTTTGAAAGTTACGACTGATAGATAAGAGTGACAGGATCAGGATATGCAAAACGCATGCATCGGATTTTCATTCTTAATTGGTGACCAAAGGTCAGGTCAATTTTGCAACGTCTCCATTATGTCAGTGAGGGAAAAATGAAATGTGACGCACTCGGAGTAGCCATTCTAAACGCTTTGAAACGTGTAACAGGTGACGGTTTTACACATGGAATCAAAAAATTACAGCAACGAGCCCAACATAGACATCTAAGGTCAGCTAGGTCATGAAAGGGAAATGCAGTTTTTTCGACTATAACTTTTAATAGATAGACATATAGAAATACTCTAGAGCGAGTAAAACACATTGAATGCATTCAGCTCGACGACATGGATCGACTGATTGCAACATGACTTTCCCTGTCAGGACTTATGCTCAAATTAAAAAAAAAAAAACACTCAAACCCTCGCCGGTACAGGCCATTTTGCGTCCTTCGACGGCTCAAAGGGGGGGGGGGGTACGCCCCCTCGCGTTTGGCCCCTGATCGAGCTAGAGCTTCGCGAAAAAAGAGCGTGCTGCCCGTCACGAGAGGAAGCCGATGATACCCAGTTTTAAGGTCCTAGGTTATCGGTTGACCTTCCAGGTCAGGTCAATGACCCAAAAGTCGGGAAAATCGGGACCTGTTAGAAAGTCGTTAAGTGTGGTTAATATGGGGTTTTCGGGGTGCTGATCACGAAAATCGTGTTAGTTTTGATCACAGATGATGTCTTTAAGCATTTAGACCAGGTCGGGTCAGGTCAGGTCAGGTCAACCAGTAGGGGTCGTGACGGGTATTCGTAGTACCTACGTGTCAACCGCCTCTGACAGCTTCGTAAGATGGCACCAAAACTACTTCTTAAATGTTCAAATGGTTGCTAAATTCGAATTCAGCTCCAAAAAACTAGCCTGGAAACAAGTAAACTCGAAACAGTGAACCGAGGTAACCAAAAGTCATTGACCTGATCTGACCTTCAGGTGACCTTGCCATCTACCCTAATGCATGGGAGCAACATCAAATCACATGTCTGAACGTTCGAAACCACGAAAAGCTTGCAAACGCGCGGCTAATGCGAGCCGACATACACCGAATCGCGAATCCGGGCAAACATGGTCTCGGAAAGTATGTCACAGGTCAAAAGTCATTTGGGTCAGGGTCATGAAATTTTCAGGGTATGTGTAAAATTGATCAATGCGACGGTACTGAAAGTTTCGACGCGATCGGCCGCTTTCTACGCGAGTTATTCGCGAAAAAACTTAGGGGGGGGGGGGAGTGCATCAACTGTCTCCTGTCCCGGCGAGGGTTAAAGGGACACTCCCACCTTAACATTAGTTTTGAGTTGAGATAGCCAAATTGGTGGCCATGGCCTGCAAATACCGGTTTGGGCACTCACAACATCGACAAATGCTTTAATTCGGAGATATGGAATTTCAAACTTGCAGTTTTCGGATTCTAAGGGGCTAGTGCATTGGTATGCCCCCTTAGAATTTGTGACGTCAGCGGAGATCTAAAAATTTTTAAATCTTTTACTAAAACGTTTGGTAGCACGCGGTGGTATATGCTGCTTTGCGCGCAACAAATGCCGCACTTTCAAATAAAGTCGCTAGGAACAGCGGAGATCCCAAAAAGTAAACAAAAGTAAAAGTCTAATATCTTGAAAACCGGTGAATATTTTTCGATGAAATTTGGTAGATATTCGTTTTCGCTCTTTCTGAACCGAGCGACATCACTTTCGTGCCAATTCATTAACTTTTTTGAAGGTGGGAGGGTCCCTTTAAGGTCAAGATACAGTGCATTCGACGCGTCTCGACGATAGAAAGACGATGCCGCTAAAATCGACGTAATACAGGCGCGATGTAAAAAATGCAGAAAAAAAACATTTCCCGCCAACACATTACCTTTACGTTTTTGTCTAAGTCTTTAACCTTATGTCAAATCTGAAAAAAAATATATTGAGACAAATCTTAAGCACTCGCCGGACCTGTTGGTATTCTACAATGCCCCGTCAGGAGGGGGTTGGTACGACCCCCATGGCCGTTTCGCCCCTAATTGAACTAGAGCCTTGCGGAAAAAACGAGCGTGTGCGCCGTTACGAGACGCAGCGATTGGTACCCAATTTCAAGGTCTCAGGTCAATTGGTGACCTCTGGTCAGGTCAAGTGACCCAAGGCTCGGGTTTGACGTTTGGTAAATTACTTCGCAAAAATGGTCACAGATCCGCTAATTTGGCACCATTGTTTTTGTCTGGCTCAGGCACGTCGAATGGTATATTTTTGTTTGGGTGGGGTCAACTAAACCCGCGCCCTGCTGGGGGGGGGCAGATTCTGCCCCCCCCTGTCTAACTTCCGAACCGATGGTCGTAGAAAGACGGGGAAAACGGCAATAGAAAGCTCTCAAAAAGGCGGATCTTAAGAGCCCAAATTTTTTTGCTTAAGTAGGTCAGAGGTCAGGTCAAGGTCAGGTCAAGGGTACAAAATGCAAGTTTCTACAGTATCGGCCTTGCACCGTAGTTGCCGAAGAATGGACTGAGACTGATTGCCCAAAACGTTTTCTTAGGCTACCAAGACAATATTCGTTGCATACAATATCATGCAAAGGTCAAGGTCAAGGTCAGGTCAGGTTACCACCAAAAACGAAATATAGAAAAGGCATGTGCGACACATGTATTATGGGTCACTTTATTCATAGAATTCAATAGGCACACTCAATAAGTGATGTGGACCACATCTGGATGAATTCCAGGTCGAGGTCAGGTCAAGGTCAGGTCAAGTGATGTCAAATTTTGAAGTTGGTTGTTAAGGCCAAAACATTTGTCTACCTATCCGATGCAGTTTTTCACGGCGAATCGAATGGTGCTATTTTTGTTTCCGTACGAGGTCTAGAACTTCCAAAATTTCATTTTCGAAAATTTTGTGTGTCGTGACGTCATAAAATTTTGAATAACTCCCACATTTTTGAACCGATTCTTCTAAAAATTGCTATGTAGGTGCACATACACCAGTTCTCTGACATATGTTCCGTTTTTTTTCAATACACTCAAAATTTTGGATTTTATAATCATTTTCCCAAAAGTCAGTTTTTTTTTAAAGAAAAATTGGGCCAAAATCCAAAATTTTCAAAAAACCGAGATGACCTTTTGATAGACAAAGTAGAATCACGTATAACCTTTTTGTAACGTCTTGATTCCCTTAAAAATGAAGATGTTAGCGGCGTTTTAAGTTTTGCCGTTTTTGAGGCGAAAATTGCGAACATGGCGTCACTAAAACGTCATTTTCTCAAAAAGTTTCCGACGGATTTCGCTAAAATATTCAGGGAACGTGTCTAATTGATGTATGAAAAGGTACTGAAAGTTTGACGTCGCTGGCGTAACGCGTTTAGAAGTTATTGGCGAAAAACGAGAGGGGGTCAGATTCTGCTCCCCCCCCCCCCCAGCGGGGCGCGGGTTAAGGTCTTGACCTTGGGTCAAGGTCAGGTAAGATCACAAAGTTGGTCAAGGAGGTCGTATCGCATATCATTCCGGGGCAGGTCTTCCTGAGTCCATTGGTGCCTTTCCCGACTCGCTAGCTCAATGTGATCGGAGTTATTGACGAAAACTCCTGTGACCCTAGCGACGTCATAAATGACGTCACACATGGTCTATGTTGCAAAAGTGAAGCATTGGACCTAGCAAGTAGTGCATGCAATCTTGATTTCATGCGCTTGTGCTAGTTTAGATCATTTCCGGCGCCAAAATAAGTTTCCATCTTTCCCCTATTGACTTGAAATGGTGAGGTCACGTGACCGACCTGACCTCATGTGATCTCGTTCTGGAAAATGCGAGGTATACAACTTGTGAGATCCCTGGAGGATAGCCATAGGTACTGGGTCTTGTAAGTTTGATTCCCTGTGAAAGCTCCTCTGGCACTGAGGGCGTTGCGAAGTTGCGAGGAACGTACAGAGGCTCACTTATGACCTAACCTGAAAATGCTGTTCGTATCACAAGATTCTGCTTGAAGCAACGGTCAGGTATGCCAAATGTCAGCCCTCTATCGCAGGTGTGGTCCGAGCTATCGCGAAATCCCTTTGGAGGGGGAGGGGGCGGCACCCACCCCCTCAGTCGGCGAAGGTTAAAACTTTAAAGTGCTATCGAATGCACTGTTTAGCGTCGATGCAGGCTGTAGCTCCATTCGTTCCCGAGTTATAGGTATGCGCCGATCTGTCAAAAGGTGTTGAAAATTGAAATACATAGGCGCACCTGAGGTCAAAACCCGAGATTAACTACTCGGTAGGTAGCTATCGGTAAACCGTACCTACCCCGTGGTGGGAACTGAAAGCAAGAAAAACAGCGAGAGTTTCTCAAAGAGCGTACGTAAGTCGTAACCTTCAAGATAACTAGCTAGCCAGGAACTAGGAAGGTAGCAGCCAGTAGGTAGGCATAGCAATATTTTCGTTGGTTTGATAAAAATCTACGGGCACCAAAATATCTGCCGTCAAATAAGAATACATATTCCCACTTTGAACACCTCAAGACCGTTTTGACTTCTTGATTCTAACAAGTTCCTAGCAGCCTTCTAGTTCACCGTCGATATCTCGCGTTAGCCCGCATCGCATCTTGCAACATATGATCCGTTCACATAACCATGGGCCCGGGAGGCACACCCACGTCAGCGGCGCGCGCCGGCGTTCCCCGATGACGTCACGGTCTGACAAATGACGTCACGAAGGGTCTCCGCGGACGGGCCGGTTTATAACAGCCGCGCCGTCGCCTGTCCGTCAGTCAGTCGCAAACAGAGCAGTGAGCAGCGAGGAGGGCTGCCGTGTCACCGGGCGGACACGACACACACACACACGGAACTATGAAGGTGAGCTTGGAGAACAATGGTTGGAGGCTTGTTAGTAACGACCATAAACGAGCAGAAAAGAGATCAGTTGCTGGATAAGAATGTTTCGTGACTACTTGCAAAATGTTACGCACCAACGATACTAATCATAACAGGCATTATTTTAGTCGTATTCTTCTCGGCTTCCTTCAATCGCACTTTCAGCGCTTCTGAAGTCGCCTTTGCCGCGTCTGAGGACTGCTCGACCCCGCAATCTGACCATTGTGTGCCCGGCAGGTTCTGGCGCTATCGTTGGCTGGCCTGGTGCTGGCACATTCTGCCGTGGCTGCGCCGCAAATCAGCGAGGACGCGGCGTTCGTGGCCTCCTTGATGGGTGAGGATCCGTCAGCCGCCGACCCGGCGAACCCCGGCGCCGCTCCCGACTGCACCGACGTCGGTAGTCTGAGCGACGCCGACTTCCTGGAGTCGCTGACGGGCGGCTGCGGGGGTCCGCCGCCGCCGCCGCCCAACGCCGTGCTGCGCTGCGAGCGCGACGAGTTCCTGTGCGTGCCCTACTTCCGCTGCAATCAGTCCGACATCGTCAGCGACCGGCTGGGCGTGTTCAACGTGCGCATCAACGCGCAGCAGTTCGAGGCCGACCACGAGATCCTGACGCACTCCGAGTGCCAGCGCTTCGGCGACGTGTGCTGCACCAACCCGCACCAGGGCGACCAGCTGGTCGAGGAGCCGTACGTGCCCAGCTGCGGACACCGAAACCCGGATGGCCTGCGCGCGCGCATCACCGGCTTCAAGGACCACGAGTCGCAGTTCGGCGAAATCCCCTGGATGGCGGCCGTGCTGCGCGTCGAGAACGTTGGCGGCGAGGACCGCAACTTCTTCGTTTGCGGTGGCTCGCTGATCGACGAGCGCGCCGTGCTCACAGCCGCCCACTGCGTCGAAAAGCTGGGCCCGGACGCCCGGCTGCGCGTGCGACTCGGCGAGTGGGACACCCAGAACGACAACGAGCTGTTCCCGCACGTGGACGTCGACGTGGCGGACTTCATCATCCACGAGGACTTCAGCTCGCGGCGGCTCAACGACGACGTGGCGATCCTGTTGCTGCGGGAGCCGGTGCCGCTGCAGCCGCACGTGGACACGCTGTGTCTGCCCGACCCGAAGCTGACCTACGACCCGACCGGCGTGCAGTGCGTGGCCACCGGCTGGGGCAAGGACGCCTTCGAGGGCGGCAAGTTCCAGACGGTGCTGAAGCAGGTGCCGCTGCCCCTGGTGGGCCACGCCGACTGCCAGGCGAGCCTGCGCACCACCCAGCTGCAGCGCTACTTCCGGCTCGACCCGTCCTTCCGGTGCGCCGGCGGCATCGGCGGCGAGGACACCTGCACGGGCGACGGCGGCTCGCCGCTGGCCTGCGAGGACCCGCACAACCCGGGCCGCTACGTGCAGCTGGGCGTCGTGTCTTGGGGAATCGGCTGCGGCCTGCCCGGCATCCCGGGCGTCTACGCCGACGTCGTCCAGCAGGTCAAGTGGATCCAGAAGCAGCTGCGGAAGCTGCCGCCGCTGCCGGCGCCCGCCGCCTGAGCGCAGGGCGAGAGTCTGCGAGTGATGAGTCCGCGCCGGACAGGCTCTGACGACGCCCGGAGCGACTCCGCCCGTCCGGGCCGCTGCCCCCGGCCTGGAGTCGGGGCGCCATGTGCTGTCCGTTCTCAGTGACGCGTGTTTACTGCGTCTGCATGCTCGCCGGACGCCAGATCGAGCTTGGTTGTGTTTGTATGAATATTGAATATGTATACTGTTGGCTGGTACAGTTTGCTGCTATGAAGATGACAATAAACATACGTGAACAATGAACATTTATTTTTCTGTATTTCACACAAGCGTCATAAATACGTACAAAATATGGCTTGCAATGAACAACTTACAAACCGAACGACTTACGCTATCATTCATCACAAACCCAAGTCAACCAATACCCTTCTCCAACAGCACAGATCCCACGACAGGTTCAATCGTATACCTCCACGGACAGAAGATCATGGCTGTCTCGCCGAGAAATCACCATGAAGACGCCCTCATCTGGGACATCCAGCCGGGGCCGCGTCCGATACACATTACATAGTCGACCTTGGGTACCAGCGGCCGGGCAGAGACCACTGACCGACCGACTGGCTGGCCGGGTGGCAGACGGGCACTGTTGCAAAACTCCCAGACCACCGTCAGCCAGCATACACAGCAGGGTTTAGCCAGGCCGGTATGCGCAGCAGGGTGCTGTTTAGCCAGCGATGGCCCAGTTTGAGCTTCGCTAGTGACTGACAGAGCTGCTCCTTACAGGGCCGCAGTAGGTCTGAGGGAGTCCTGATCATTTCATCAGCTTGCGTAAGGAGTTCATGTAGCCCTCAGCCCTTGGAGTCCTCGGTCAGGTGAGCTATGAAACTGAAGGAATTCCGCCACAGTACAAACACAGGTCTTTGTCCGTACGCAGCCGCTCACATGTAGAGCTGCAGGAGTTCGTCCGACACGGCGGCCGGCGTGAGGATGCCCAGGTCGGTGAACAGCAGCGTGATGTAGCGCGGAGGTGTGTAGTCCACCAGAGGGTTGGTCTTGTCCCGCGCCTCCGAGCCGGGCCGCACCAGCGCAAACTGGACGATAAAACACGGGCCAGTCAGGGAAACTGCTGTACCAACGGTGTCGCTGTGGGATTGGTACTTTCGAAGGTTCTCAAGTTAGGTTAACGTCTTCGTATGGTCAGCTAAAATATAGATGTGCACAGCATTAAGCGACCTGAACTTCGACAAACTGACTTCCGGGACGAGCGGAAGAACTCGCACTAAGCTTTACTGAAATTCAACTCGCATTGATATGTGCGCTTATTATCATCTCGGGGCATTTGAAAAGATAGCACACATCTACGAGTCATGACAATCTGCGATAAGTTAGCACAAATGGGACCGGTTGGTCACTCACTGGAAAACTTTGCGACATTTCACAGAAAAAGCATGGGAGTTTCCCGGTAGGTGCACCGACAACATTCATCCATTAATCATAACTTGTTTTGACGTGACAATGGCGAAATAGAAGTGAGTCACCCACAATGACTTCCTGTAAATGAATGGACAAGACCGGTAAAATGAGCGGCTTTGTTCTATATCACGACTAGACATCTAGATCCGATCCAAATGTACCGGACATCGCTTCACATTACCGGACAGAAATCACGCCCTCTTTATATAGCTCCAGCCCGCGGGCGTCCCGAAACATCTCGATGTTTATACTGACGCGATGGTCGGCACATGCTTTAACATTAGGTAAACACACGCTTAGACTTTGGTTGGAAAATTGTGACACGATCCACCACACCAATCATGTTAAACAGACGGCGAATTCAGCGGTCGACAGTCGGCTCGTTTACACGAGTCGACCAGTTGCACGATGAAGCTTAGGGCCCAACGCAATGCCTAGGCATGCCAATATGTATGACATGTTTCTGAGGCAGGGGCGGAGCTCCTATACGGTTGGTGGGGCGGCTGTTTCACCAACTCGCCATTTTGCCCCACCAATAAGCGCTATGCCTCACCAGCTTTAGAACATTTGTAGGACTTTGTGGCATTGCAAATCAGCTAAGGAGATTTTGAATGTCTATTTAATGTAAAAGATTGTCTTTGTAAGCATAGGCATTGTTATTGGCAATCGGGCATAATTAATTTGGTGACTTTTTGCCCAAACAACTTCCGTGAAAAGCTCCACCCATGTTCTGAAGGGTTCTACTTATGTCGCCTAAAATAAGAAAAAGGACGAGGTTCCAGAAGATAGATCACACAACATATGTAAATTCAGATGTATCATATGAAGTGACGTGTCCGATTTCGAAAGAGCATCTATTAAACTCGAGCAATGCGCACCGGTCCCGACATCTTCTCGACAGCAAAGCCGCACCTACCGCTGACGCGAAATGGCGGGAACAGCCCGGCTTTTACCGGGTTTTACACACTTAAGCATGCGTGACCTATGATGTCGAGATCCAACCACTTGGCCATATTATCCCAACTTTGCAAATGCAAATTCTCGTGGAGAGTCACTGCACGGTATGCGGTAACCAAAGAACCCGCAATCTCAAATGTTTCAGAGAGCACTATTTATCAATGATCGTGACAGAAAATGTGACTTTACCAGATAAACATTGATTGAGCCGCACAAAATGATGGTCTGTATCGTTCCTAAGAGCATGCGTCTTCAGATCTACCGTTTAATTGTCGCACACTATTGCAAAAACGGCAACAAAGAGCACTCGGCCCGAATTCACTCAGTGTAAAAAGAGTGTCAATAATTTAACACGACTAATCCATGAGGACCTACCACATCTAAGTTCTATTCAACACGCAAGCCTAACACCACACCGTTCCCCCTACCACACCACTCCCGTCGCCCACTGCCATCCGGTCCCACCGCGGCCCACCACCCCGCCCCAGCCGTCCGGAACGCACCTTGAACTCGTCGGGCACCTCCTGCTGGTTGAGCGGGTACAGCCGCACGAACTTGACGCACTCGGCCAGTACGTACAGCGGCCGTTTGAAGGCGTGCGCGCTCATGGCCACCGCCAGGCTGCCGATCTTGTTGACGATGCCGCCGTTTTCGACGACACCCTCGGCGCCGACCAGCACGCAGTCGACCGACTCCATCGAGTAGGCCACCGCCGCGTCCAGGATCACCGTGCAGTCGATCCCGGCGGCGGCCAGCTCCCGGCGCAGCTCGGCACTGCGGGGAGGGAGGCCGCTGTCACATCTCCGCCACAGTCGCAGTCGTGGGCCTGGGTCGGGCTGACACTGTCACCTGCACCGCTGGTACTGCCGCCCGGCCACTGAGGCAGGGCTGGCAGAGAGACCGAGAGGTGGGTCGCAGGAACACGACATACGACAAAAGCCACACCGACTACCTACCAGCCAGGGGCGGATCCAGGGGGGGGGGCCGCTAGGGGCCGATGCCCCTAGCCTATCGAAAAATGCCGCCCCTCCGCCGCCGAAGGCGGCGGAGGGGCGGCTTTTTTCGATACGTGATGAAGTGCATTTTACGGAAATGATCATTTCTTTGAAGTTCATTTCATAATAATATCTGGTGTTAACTATCTGAATTTATATTTAACCCTCAGAGTATGTCGCTTCTCTCCCTGAAGTCAGAGTGCCGCCCCTTAACCCGCGCCCCACTGGGGTCTGCGTATAACACGCCCTACTGGGGGGGGGGGGCTATTCATAGCCCCCCCTCCTAACTCCGAAACTACTGGGCCGATCGTCAAAATTCAAACGGCGTCTGATAGCCCCGCAAAAACTGTCGAGCGAAACCTAATTTCATTGACCTCGAGGTCACCGATGACGTCACAGGTCAGGTCAAAGTAAAAATTATTAGCATTTTGGCTTCTTCACGTTTTGGGCTCTGGCCGCCGTCTTACAAGTCAGATCAGGCTCATTTTTGGTTCACACACTCGTGAACAGATGCTCTAGATACTCTGAGGGTACCAAACTTGTACTTTGATTTTCAGGTCAAGGTCAGGTCATCACAGGTCACGAAAATATTATTTCATCCGTCGGTCACGTGACACATGTTTTATGGTCCATTTAGGCCAAACATTTCGAATTTGATGTCGTCTGTGTCATTCGAGGTCATTTTGAGTCAAATTTAGCTCAGGTCAGGTCACTTTCAGGTCAAAAAAGGTCAAATTTTGAAGTTAAAATTTTTCAACAAAAAAGGTGTCTATTGGATGCAGTTTGAGCTCAGAAACACGATGGTGCTATTTATATTGGCGTACGATGTCAAATTCGTGCTGAAAAATTGATTTGAAAAATTAATAATTGTTAATTTTTTGCAATAATGCGTATAACTTGGCCATTTTTGAAGATATTTAGCTAAAACTTGCTAGAGTTAGTCATAATAATGCGTTCTATCACATATATTCCGGTTTTTTCGAAAAGTCAAAAAGTTTTTGAAAAAAATGTAAAAATATAAATTTTGAATTTTATTATATAAATTTTCGAAATTTTCAAAATTTCGAAAATCCGAGATAGCAGTTTGATAGCGCAGTCTATTCTGAGTCCTCTCATGCAAAGAAATTGGATCTAGCTTAAAAACTGAGCTCTTGGGAGCGATTGCCGTGGTTCAATGTTTTGCGTCGAAATCGCCCGAACATGACGTCACTCTGACGTCATTTCCGGCCGACTTATGGTAGGTACGAAGTTCAAATTTTGACACAAGGTGTCAAATTGATGCAGCCGAAGGTACTGAAAGTTTGGCGTCGATACGTCAAGCGGTTTGGAAGTTATTGCAGAAAAACGGGAGGGGGGGCTATACCCAGCCAGCAATTCGGTTGGGGAAAGTGCGGGGACAGTGTTGGGGAAAGCTTGGGGAGAACGTACAATTCCCCTATCGGATCGGGGAACGGTCCGTGTTCCCCATCCCTTCCCCGACTGTATTGGTAATATGTTCAAAAGACATGGGGAAATTACACCGATCCCCGTACGGGGAAAGAGCAGCATTCCCCAATCAAACCCCACTGTTGGGGTTCGGTCGGGTAAAAGATCAGATTCCCCGAACGGGGAAGGGTGCGTTATCCCCGACCCATTTTCAAGAACAGTTTGATTGGGGAAAAGTAGGGGAACTGTTGAAATTCCCCGCTCGGGATTTTACACTTAATCCCCAGACGAATCCCAACCGCCAGTAGGACGTCTTGAGATCGACTTCCAGCATGTAATTCCACAAGTATTCAATAAAGAAAAATGCATCTTGGGAATGCTAAAAGCAGTCTTAGGAGCAGTTCTAGAGCTATAGGTTCATGCATCGATTGAAGGGAGATTAATAAAAAAATTAGCGATATAACGATTTTATAACGATATAACGATAAAACGATACCTATAACGATATAATTTTTTTATAATCGTTTTCATGACAGGTGATCTGGCGAATGCATCAAACCTGACCAAATTTGCACCAAATTTCTTTTTCATATCTTTATATCATATACCTATTTATTTCAGTGTTTTAATCGAAAATAATGTCTGATATAATTGATCAAATCGGCACCGCATCTGGACCAAATGCCTACCAATTGTGTACCAGTTACCTATCATGAAAACGGTTATTCGCAGACATTTGATTGAGGCATTTGATGTATGTAATTTTCGACCTAAAAGAGAGGTAAAGCCGTCTTGGTTTACGGGGCCTGCTAAGCCGTGAGGATGAGGACACGCACACGTCATTATTTTGAACGAACGTTGGTGCCCTTATTTCATGAGGTAAAAACAACTTTGACAACTTTCAGGATCTTTGTTTCTTCTCGCACTGCTGTGGCATAAACATTACGTTTTCTTTCTTCTGTCATCACTCATCGCATTGAAATTACAAAAGCATCAAAATTTCAACAACACACGTCACACTGCCTACGACATACATGTGTCGCCTCAACGCAGCGAGGGGAGGGGAGGGAGGGGTAGCAACGACCGGCCGCCGTCGGTTCCGTCCGCACATCTGGTTGAGGGGCGTCTCCTGTCGCCATCTGTCATCGTGAATGGGGCCGTGCCGACGTGTCAGACGGGACGAACGGGGGAAGTCGGTCCAGAGTCACTGCGCCGCGCGGTTGTGTGAGCAAGCCGTGGGCTAGGTACCGCTCCAGGTCAGACCATGGTTGGCACTGAAGAGTGCGGCGACACTACAGAGCTGTGAACGAAGACGGTGAACGGCGAGATGTGGTGACCGCTTGACTGACCTGTGCTCAAAGTCGTGATCTACCGCTGGCCGCTGGGGTCAGTGCGTGAGAAGCTGGACTCGGCAACAACGGAGGACGCAGCTCGACGAGGAAGCTATGCTGTGTTGGTAAGGAACTAAAGCACTTAATTGTAACGAATCCATGACAGATATAAAATGACGATACTAACTCAAGTTTATTGTAAAAGACAAAGCTTTCGATACACACAATATCTTGATAACTGTCTAGGATATGCAGAATATGACGTAAAAATGACTAAGGTCATCAACCTCCGTCTGAGATTATCCTTAAATTGCCCGGACAATATAATGTCATCAGCCTAATGCTTCATCTGCTTCTGTTCTAGAGGGACGTCTGCCGGTTACGACCGGAAGGTTTCCGACGGGACTTGGCAGAACCCACAACAGCAGTATGAACCCGGCGTGGAGTTAATGCGTAATTGCTCGCATGAGCAACCGAAGAGCGACTTCCAGGCGAAGATGGTAAGCAGTTTATGGGGGTGGGGGCTAGCTTAGAGCTGTTGAACAACCTGTCCTTCACCCAAGTCTAAAGGCTGAGACACACTCTTTCTACAGCCAGAAAATCTCATGCGAGAGCCCATTAATTAAACACATGAAATCACGATCGCATCAACCACTTACAGGGATGTGCGAACAATTGACGCGATTGTAATAAATAACATGCATTTGAATAGGCTCTCGCATTCCATTTTCTGTCTTCGGGAAGAGCCTGTTTCAGCGGCTCTACTAGACAGCTCTGCTTGTGAAAGGGATTGTTATCTTGAAAAACTATATAGCAACCGATTTTAATTGTCAAACGGCGTTCATTTATCTGTCAAGTGCTTTCGCGAGGAACTTCGTAAGGCGTAATATAGACGTAAAACATTTATTACCTAATGACTTTTCCTGGAATGAGAAATGTTTAGAAGTACAAATCTAATTATTGAATTTTATTTCCTGATTTAATTAATTATTCTAAGTATATCACATTCAATTTTTAAGCACTTTTCGTGGAAAAAAGTTATAAATAAGTGTAATTTTATAAAATGGCATTCAACATGTTTCAGCGTAAGCTGACGTTTCCATATAAGGACATTTCATGTAGTAGCTAGCTGTAAAACCTGATTGATATACCTACAAGTGCACATATTTTTGTTTTTGTCCACAGCCGCAGAATTCCTGGAGATGCGCTGGGACATGGATCATAGCAAGGTGGCTCTCAGCGGCAGCTGACCGCTGAGATGTGTCTGAAACAGCCAGAAGGAAGACTCGAGTTGTGGATCCAGGGCACTACTGATCGGAAGGCGGGACCAGCTGTAGGGAGACTACAGCAAAGCCGTCGTACTCAATCTGCTGAACAGACTCCTACTGCAGAGGAAAAACTGGGGTTCGACGTGTTAGAACTGGGGTTAGACCGGTTACCAGTGCTCGTGTTCGTCACCTGTTGTTTGTCACTGCTGTGCTGCTGCTGTATGTCATGTTTGCCACCTGCTAAGCGTTCACAATGTATTTTAAGTGAATAATAACCTTTTTAGTGTTTGTCTTGATTTGTAACGAGTATATCAAGTACCTATGTTAACCTTTCATCAAATGAAGGACTCCACATAAAAATAGTATAGGCTGTGGTGGTACATACCATGCTTGGCCGACTGTTGTGTAGTGATCTAGTCGCTGAAGCGTCCTGAAAGTCTGGAAATAAACAGGCATAGCCAAATGGATTGGTTCTAATTATTTTCCTGTGTGGTTTTATCATTTCCCTATTGCGGGGAAACAAGTGGACAATTTTGTTTGTATTTATACAAGTATGTGTATACAAATATTTGTATGTTTACGGACAAAATAAATAGTCATTGTCAATTTTAATGGGACCCGGATATGTTTCCCAGTGCGGTTTTTACTGGCTTCTCCGTACGGGGAAAAAAGCAGACAAGGCAGTGGGGCCATTGCCAAGTCGGGGAACGGCCGGGGTTCGCGCGGGGGAAAGGTCTTTGAACGTTAGGGGAAAA